AAATAATTAATAGATAGAATAAAATTAACTGATGTGTAAATAATTCATTTATAAATTAATTTATTTATGTAACCGAAAGTTGAAAATGTTTAAATCACGTAATCTATTTAAATTATTTAATTCTAATAATATCATTTTTCTCTCTATTTATATAAATAGAAAAATATAAATTTATACTATTTATTATCTTCTATATATTTATTTTAATATAAAATAAAAAAATTATAAATAATAAAATTTAATAAAAATGTACAAATTATTTGTCTTTAACATACATTTATTTATTAAAATTAATAAAACTCATAAGAACATAATTTAAAATAATTACTTTATAGTTTAATATGTTATCAATTTTGACATATTATTTAACAATATTATGATGCGAAAATATAAACTATGTGAATAATCTAGAAAACTCAAATTTTCTAATAAAAAAAGAACATTATATATTTATATAATTACAAACGCATAAAGAAATAAATTTATGCCCTTATATACGGACTATATACAGCTGTAAAAACGACTAAAATTCACACATGAATACAATTTTCTTATAATAATAATATCAATAGGCCTTTTCAACGGTGAGAACAGTGTAGTTAATGTTAAAGTCGTGAGTATATATTGATCATTACATCAATGATTAAGACAAATCATAACTTATATTAATATTTATTAATAATACGGTAATTAATTATGTATTTTATTATTGACAAATTCATTTTAATTAATTTAAATTTTTATTTTTACAGTGCATGCGTATTTTGTGTGTGCGCGCGGGCGTGTAGTCTTGTCATATTTATAAATAACTAAAATATGTTACAGCCTCACAAATAAAAAAGTTTAAATTATTAAACTAACTAATCTCACAAATTGTATACTTTATTCACAAGGCTTTGAATGATTAGTATTAGTTAAATAAAAATATGATGAATTTATATCGTACCTTTTTATTTAATTTTAATGCAAAAAATTTGTATTGGTAATATTTTAAAATTAATGTATAGATTATTGAGTAAAATAAGATTATCTTTAAGTTTTTTAATAGATTAAAGCTAATTTAGTAATAAGATTGGTAACTTGTATAAATTTTTTAAAATCAATTAATTAAATAATTAATAGATTATAGCTTTATACATTTATACTATTCCTTATACACACGTTTTTAAAGCAATCTTATATATGGTTACAAAAATATATAACAATACAATTAAACAGTACAGTTAAACAAAATTTTTAAATTAAAAATTAGTAGATAATTTAAAAATTTTATTTAACTTGTATTTAATATTTTTATTATTAAATATTGATTATTTAAGACTTAAAATGAATTGCAAAAATGATGAATTATCTGATTAATATTAAAAGATTCCTGTGCAGTTTATTTTGTATTTTCTAGTAAACAACTTGGCGTTGATAAAAATTGGTATTATTTTATTTGTATTTTTTTAATTTTAAGAATTTTTCAGAGTTTAATTTTTGTTAAAGTAAATATATTGCTTATTAGCAATATACTGTTATATAGGAAATTAAATTCTGACAATGATAGACAGTATACTAATTATACAGGAAAATATATACGAAAAGGATTAGTAATTAATTTTGTATAGCTTGTAATTTGCAAATTAGAGATCAATCGTACTTATATAATCTGCAATGTGGCTCTCTTGGTAAGGGCTGCGCTCATGATGACTCGTTTAATTGTAGTTATGAAGGTCGTGACGTAAGCAGCTCTTGTAATAATAATGGGAGCACGGATTATTACGTTGGCTATTCGCTGTGTGATGCCACTTTCGCTTTGCGTGCTCTCGATGCAAATATTGTCTTCGTCTGTTTGTTATCTGATCAAAGCGGTACGCTTTTACTTTCTTCTCATCCATTTAATCGCGCAATTATATGTTTCCATCACTATCTTATTATTACTTCATATATGATCTTATGAAAATTAAAATATAGCTATTTCTTTATGGAAAATTTTCGGATTGATTATGTATTAGACTGTGATTTTTTTTGGCATAATAAAGACATATTAATGCCAAATTTTATTGATTAACAAAGTATAAATCAAAGTTTTTATTAAAAATTTGTTTATAGTTTCAATTGGTCAATTTTATCAAATTGGTGTATTCAATACTTGATACGATTATAACAGTCTATATTTAATAATATGAAGTCTGCAATCTTTTTTAAGACAGAATTTAATATTGCTTTAACTATGCAAGTCAATTAAAAATTGAGGGAAATTTCTCATAGATAACAGATTAATAGATAATATAAACTACAATTTATTGCAGCATGTATAAATTAATATAATATAATGTTTATAATTGTAGAATTTTATAGAAGAACATTTAAAAGCATAAATATTTTTTATAAAATTTTTTATTAAATGAAAATGAAAATTGTAAGTAAATAAAATAATCATAAAATTTACATTGTAAATATTAAAGTTATTATATTTTATATATAATAACACATGTAGTTTTCCTACTTCTAATTAATGTATTATTAAAATTAATGCTTGATATAATTTTAACTAATTAAAATAAAATATATTAAATAATTAGTATAAGATTTATTTACAGTCTGATCAAATATATAATCAAATATTGTTTTTTATTATTTAACATAAACAACCTTAAATTTTACCATCAGAATTTTATTTTTAATATACTGAATTTTTATTTCATTAAAAAAAGTAAAATAAAAGTAAATTAACGTATATACATAAATCTAATTATTTTTATTTTATAAATTATAATTTTTCATTTTATATTATATATGTTTATTATATATTTCGTGTAATGGAATAAACAAAAAAAAAATAGATTTAAGAGATTCAATTATATTATTAAATTCATTCCACTATATTTTTAGAATATAAATTCAACTTATGATTAATAATAATAAAAAAATTTCTTTAATAAGTAGGTTGAAAGTATTTTTATGCACATTTCTAAATATCTATTATCAAGTAATAAATAATATAAATTACTTATAAATTTTAAATAATTAAACTACTACGATTATTATTTAAATGACTTTCTCAATCAAAGTACAAAGAATTTGTAATTATTTATTAAGTACTAAATTATTCAAACATTTAAGTAATAACATGAAATATTTTAAATAGAGTGTAGACTTTGAAATTCTTGCATAAATTTATTTTTTAATAAATTTAAGGAATTTAATTAATTAAGTTATGTCTTTGACAACATATCTTTGAAAATAAATATTTAATTATTTCTTTTCGTGCGTATTTATAGCGATTGAAAATGTTTTATAATGTAATTTTTATTTTTATCTTTTATAAAGTATATTGTTGTTACTTAATTGTCAATTCAACTATCGGTGTTCAATAATTAATGATATATTAAAAAAAATTAATAATAAAAATGAAAAAAAACTCCATTAATAAAATTAAAAAATTAAAAGACTGTCTAGATTCTCTGAGTCTTTTATATTATTTACTGTAATAATGCTTATTTTCGTGCTCATGAAACAACAAGCAAATTGAAATCTTTTTCTTATATTTGACTTAATTACCCGACATAAAACAAAATAGATATTAAATTTATGAAATAATTATATATAACATCAGAAGTAAATATAAAGAAAAGTATAGATATTTGCATTTATTTTTTAATGATTAAATATGCATAATTTGGTGTTAATTTTTTATGATTATAAAATATTTTTTCAATAAACATCAATCGTTTTATAAAAATTCTCAAACTTTTCACTTGTCTTCATAATATCGATCATTATAAATAATTAAGATGGTAATCATGTTTTTTAGGAAAGAACAGTCTATGAACGTATGTCACTTGAAATTCGCATTTCCTAATGTTTCACAAGTGCACCTTTTGTTTTGTATAAATATGTATATTAAATTTTAATTGTAAATTTAATTATACACATTATAATATTTACAATCGATTTTTTTATTCATACAATATTATACACAATATTTAAATACATGCTGAATTTATAATAAATACTTATAAAGACTAATAATTAATAACAAAATTTAATTTCTTTTATAAATATAGATTTTAACTAATTATATATACATAAATTTATATTTAAGAACTGTACATAAATTTATATTTAAGAACTGTACATAAATTTATATTTAAGAACTGTACATAAATTTATATTTAAGTAAATGTAAATACTTATTAATTATTAGTTAAAATAAATAAACACCATTTATAAAAGTACGTTGATTATTCATTTATTAATCGAGTGAAGAAAAATCATCTTGATATTTATAAGTTATTGTCACATAAAAACTCTCAAATCGCTTGATGATTTATTAATATGATACATCACATTATATTCTAATAAGCGAATTTTCTAATAAACATAGTACCCCTATCTTTATATGCTTATTATATATTTAAAAAAAATATATAAAAGCTCCAATTTTTTAAATTTACATAAGCTTGTTTTACCATTAAAAATTTTTTTTGATGTGAAATAAATCTTCAATATTAGTTAAAGAAAATTGTAATATTTAAAATATATATTTACGTTTAAAGTGTAAAACGTTTGTAAACTTTATTGTATAACATTATTATATTAAGAATTATTATAAAGTTTATTTTTGTTTTATTATAATTTTGAAAACAAAAGTTATGTTCTTAAAGAAAAATTATCGTCTATTTATTTAATTATAATATGAAGTTTATGATACTTCAGTATTATAATGTTATTGAATCCATGTAGCTATCAGTAATATAATCTTAATTAATATTAAGTCGATTTAAAATTAAATTACTAGAAATAGTAATCATAAGTTGTAAGTACTTAAAATATGAGCTACAAATTCAAAAACCATTTTTGTTTAAACTTACACAGGCGAACTTCTATATTTTTGGGCTAATTGTTCCTGTTGCAAGGAATAATTACTCAATTATTCGTTTGATTTTTTAATTGAAGAATAATAAGATCTTCATTACTATTTACATGAACAGCCCATTGGATAATAAAGACGATCCGTGTTTTTTCAGTGAGAATATCTCAATGCGATGGCATACTTCGCAAGGATTTAACAATTTTTCGAAAATATCGATGAATAATAATGTAACAGTGTTAATAATAACACTGCTGTTAAATGCTTTTATACGAATATAGCTTTCTCAAAAATCCTTCTACAAACTAAAAGTGTCATAGTTATCGTCAAAGTAATAAGTAGAGATGAGTTGCCAGAAAAGTAAGTTGCCACATTTGGACATTCGGTCATTGTTGTTGTTGATGATGTAATGTGGATGCTTTTGTTCTGTTCTGCTTGTTCAGGTACTGTATTCCTATAATTGTCCAACTGTTGCTGCGTAATTGCAGGTACGTAATACGGACCTGGATATGGAAAATCTTGTTCAGGTATAGATGGGTTGATAATTTCTGGGGAATTAGGTAGTCTTGAAGGCGGAGTTGTTGTTGGATTAGTGGTGCTCCATCTTAATGTTTCAGTGGATAACTCTCGCGTGTAGTAAGGGGTAAGTGTGTTTAATAAAGTTTTTGATGATGTTCTTGATAGAGTATTTTCGTCAGCACTTGATGGAAAACTTAGAATCGTATTCGGCTGAATATTGGGTATCAAATCAACTTTCGGATCTTCAAATACTGGTGGAGTTTGTAAAAACGGATCTTCAGTAGGCATCTGATCCACTATACTAGTGGACAAATGCCCATCTATCTCATATTCAATATGATGTTCGTTCAAGAACTTCTTTATTGCATTTGAACAACTGAACTTGGGATTATTGTTAAGGAAAATTCTTTTGAGATCTTTTAGCTTTGGCATGCTGTCTAGATCAAAACACACTAGGCGGTTACCAGAAAGGCGCAAGTCAACGATGTCAGGGGCATTACGAAAGACGTCCCCATCAATGTGCTCAATGCTGTTATAATTTAGATCGAGATACGTCAAGTAAATGAGGCCTTCGAACCAGTTCGCCCTTACCTCTTTCAAATTATTGTTATCGAGGCTAAGCTGTTGCAAATTTTCTAATCTACGGAAAGCATCATCATCGATCTCAGTGATCATACAGTGGGAGCATATTAACACAAGAAGATTACTGCCGAAGCGTGAAAAAAGATTTTTGTCAACTCGATTTACAGGCATGTTTGAAATGCGAATTTTCTCGGTATTATTTGGGAGTAGTTTGAGATCATCGATAAATCCGCCCTCGCAAGTGTATTCGATCAAGTCCTGGTTATTTACGTGGATGCACACTGCATTTAGTTGTGTCACAAGAAGCACTATTGTAGCTGCTAAGCAAATGTATCGATTCATTTTTATTATGTATTTATATTAGCTGCTAATTGTTTTCGATAATACAGAGCCACTTAACACCCAGTTCAACCGCGACAAAGCAGCATGTAACCGATCAAAGCTGAACGTTGAACTGAGCTCATATATTCTGTTAGCTCGTTATTTATTTACTTTGACGCCCCTCCACCGTCTACAATATGGTATTGGTATTCTCTCCCCCCTGTCTCGCGCGATCACTTCCATTCTCATCAACTCCCTCTTTGCTATTAGACTTCCTTTTTTTCAGTGTAATTATTAATATACATTAAAAAGTTAGAAAAATTTAATATAATTTATTCACCTTCTTCCTATTTTAATTTATTTCATCTAAATATAATGCTTCAAATTAACAAATAATGATTTCACAATATCATGAATAATACTTAATATTAGAATAACGGAATAAATTTTTATATTTTAAATATTTCGTTTATTTATAGCAAGAATTTTTTATTTATACAAAAAAAGTTATTCATTTTTTTTTAATTACCTAATTTATCAACATATACATGTAATTTAAGGCAATTTTTTAATTTCAATGTAAAAGTAATTGAAAGTTTCTTATCTAAGTAAATATTTTTAAAAAATTGTGAAATTTTTATATCAATCAACTTATATCAACTTATAACAAATTTATATTTTAGCTAAAAAAAATTTTTGTCTTTGAAATTTGATAAAATATTTTTAAAAATGCGCAACATAATTCAAGATTACTTTCTTTTAAATGAAAATAAATAAATTTTAATAAGCTTTTTTTATAATTATATAATTTTATTTTATAATTATAATTTAGTAAAATTTGATCATTCATCTGTGGATACACAAACCTTCCTACACACTCACACTCACGCACACACACACACACACACACACACATATATATACAAGTGCATATGCGATGCAATAAATGAAGCTTATACAATAAATAACAATAATTGATTTTGTAAGTTTTAAAATATGTGTTAAATGTAAATAATACCTACTACAAAATAAATTTATGACCTTCAATATTATGGAATTTTATATGTTACGCTATAAATAGTTGAGTATATAAATCAAATTTTGATTCTAAATGTTATATTTATTAATTTAATAACATCTATTTACAGTAATATTGAACACTCGTTATTTGCTGGCCTATTTATTTATGTATCAAAGAATTTATAAAATACTATATTAAGATTAATTAAAATTTTCCAAGCTATATAACTTACCTTTCGCTTTCTAAGTAGTTTCTTTTTTTTGTTCTCTTGTGTAAAATTTTTAAATTCTGGTACTTCACCTTTTGTAATAAGATCTTGAATAATACTATGTAATCGAGGCTCTTCATCGCAATTTGTAAAAGGTACTGATTCAAGAATATAATCCATATTGCCTTTACCTATAATTATAATTAAAATATTTTAATATTTTATTATAAAGATTTCATCAGAATTGTAAAAAATCTATTTACTGTCCATATAAGCTCTTTTTAAGTCTTTAATTTCAATTTCAGATCCTTTATAATCTATTTCATATTTATTTATATCTTCCACTGTAATTTCCTTAAAAAGAGAACACCAGTAATCTGCCCAGTTACGCATAATAATTTCTTCACTTTTTTCATCAAATGTACCAGTTTTGTCATAAATTTTTCGTTTATTAACATCACTAAGGATAGAGTGAATTCTACCAAGAACCTTAAATTTTTCTGTAGCTTCAATTTTGATTTTTTCTTCTACGCGATCAGGATGAACAAGCAATGACATTTTGTGGTAGGCTTTCTTTACTGGAAAAAAGATTATATTTAATTATATTTAGTTGAAAATATTATATTTTTACAATATATTGTTAAAAATAAAAATTTCCTTTTATATCAATTATGATTTTATTATATTTCCATTAATATGAATTAATTATATTATTGACAATATACTGATCATATTCATGATTTTTGTATACATTTGAAAATATGCAGTTATATCTTTGATTTATATTAATAATCTTTAAAAAAATTAAATTAAATTAGTATACAAAGTAATTTAATAAACAGACAAAATAATGCAATAGAAAATTCAAATTTTTACTATTTTTTATAAGTCATCTAAAGAATATTTATTAAGCAATATTTTTTATAAATTAATTAAGTATTAATAATTAAGTAGAGGTTATATTTATTTACCTTGCTTTTCATTAGCATTTTTTGAAATTTTTAAAACTTCATAGAAATCACGAGTATTAAAATATTTTTTACACAGATCTAAAAGATCCATAGACATTTTTCTAAATTAATAAGTTTTGGAAAACTCAAATAAATTATTTACTTATTTAATTTGAAATACGAGACAACCATGGAATAACTGGCTCGTTTTGTTTCTGTTTGTCGATGCAAAACTGTTTTATTTGTATCAAATTGAATAAATGCATATATATATATATATATATATATATATATATATATATGCATAGGCATTTGTGAAAGGTATATATATATATATGTATGTATGCATACATATGTTAAATGTATTTAACAATAAAAAATATATATGCGCATAAGCGCATACACAAGTATATATATATATATATTTTTTTTTTTAATGTATTATTTTTAATGTATTATTGTGATATGTATCAACAGATTATTTTTCATTGCAAAGTATTATACTACTACATTCTTATATGGTATTATATAGTAAACTATAGATTTTATTTCCGTTTCCCGCCACGGTTTAGATATTCTAATGAAATCGATACTAGTTACCATCTTTACCGACTTGGCGTTATCGTCGGCTTAGGATTTCATTCTATCTCTGTCATTTTTATCTCGTATTGCACTTTTATTACTTTGCGTAATAAAAAGATAAAAAAAAAAAAAAAATCGTATGTGTTTCTGAAAATCATAAGTTCTAATTTTTTAAATAATTATTATTTGAAAGTAAAATCTTATTATTAGATATTAATTTATATAATTCTATTTTATTGAAGAACTTAAAAAAAAACGGTCGGTGGAGGAGGAAACTGCGGAGAAACTTGCGAAGTCCGCCATATTGTAGAATAATACCCAACTGATTCTGTACTCCTTTGTCAGTAGTGGATAGAAATTAATGGCGTTGACTGGTGATCGAAGATCCCTGTACTACGCCATATTTGCTGTGCGTCAGGGCATGTGTAAGTAGATCCCGTTGTGAGTGACCGAGTATATCATCTTCAGCGCAGCGCGCGGCTTTCGGCGGATATTTTCTGAATGTATAGATTTGTTTTGCGGTAAAAGAGCATTTTTTTACTTTCATAGAAATTTGTTGTTTACATAAACGGACAAATAAGGAAAGTACTTTGAAAAAATCATTAAAACGGCTTTACACTGGATACCAAAGGAGGAATGAAGACATACGTTCGTAGGAGAAAAGGGGATAGCCCAAGCAATGTTATTATACATTTGAATGAACTCTGCCGGCTATGTCTTGCCAAGGAAGAAGAGATGGTGCCGATATATGATGATGATGCCGTACCGCTTCCTCTTAGAATCATGGCTTGTGTTAATCTCGAGGTTAGAAATTGACCTATTCTATTTTCTTTATATCTTTTTTCTCTTTTCCTTATCTTCTAGAACATTGTTGCAATATATTTTTTTCATTTTGATATAAATGAAATTCTGACATGAAATTTTTATATTTGCTAAGAGAAATTGTATAAACAAATACGTCATTGATTTGCCGACCACTAGGAATCTATTTTATCTTTAAGAGACCAATATATGTTAAGTGAATAAGTGGTTCCTTAATTTTTTAATTTAATTTTTTGATTTTTCCTTATTATTTATTTTTAGGCTCAATGACTAATTTACAAATAGGAAAGGTAAATGAGATATTTATACATCAAGAAATACAATCCTTATAGTTATTGTAGTACTTAATAGCTTTGTTAAATTTTTTGTATTTTTTCATTTAAGTTTAATCTGTATTATATAGTAAAATAATACTACTTAATTTCTGCATGAATAATAAATAGTACTAATTACACAAAAAATATTTGGTATAAGATACAGATTTTAGGATCGTTTATATTTCAGTTAAATATATAACTTATTGATGCAATATTTATGATTTCATTTATTTATTATTATACGTCGAAAAACATTAAACATATCTTTAAAGTATATAAAAATATTATATTTTAAAAATTATTTAAAAATTACAGCAGTTAGATATGTAATTTAGATAAATTGAGCCATATTTGCAATACTTTATTATATACTTTTTAAATGAAACTATAAAATTTACTTGGAATAGATTTTTATATAATTTTAGTTTGTTATAAAACATAAAATATATTAATTAAAATTTTTTTAATATTATTATAACGCATAATTTGATACTATTAGGTATTTGAAGATGATGGTCTTCCGAATATGATATGTCATCCTTGTAAGTATCAGTTGGAGAAATCTTATCAATTTAAAAAGAAATGTGAAGCTGCTGATATAAAACTTAGAAAACATATAAAACTAATTCAACAATTAACTGGTCAAGAGGATGACGATATTCAAAGCCAGGATTCTCGTTCTGAAAGTGATCAGACACAGTCTAGTAGTGGTAAATCAAGAAGAGTCAAACAGTTATTGGCTGATTTAGTATCGACAAAAAGAGACGTAACTAATAACCAAGCAGAAGGTGATCCTATTGAGGTAACTGAAGAAGAATTGGTTGGTGGGTACATATTAGGAATGGGTGCAGAAAATGCTGATATGGATGATAATTTATCAGAAGATCCAGAAAACATTACTCTGGTACCTGCAGAAGAAAGATCAGCAAAAGCTCGTTGTACCATTAGGGGAACAAGAATAAAACAAGAACAAGAATCAGATGATGAAGCAGATGAAGTTCAGAGAGCAATAGTTAATGCTGAAAATCAAAAAATGTATATGATGGAACTTCAAAATCAACAACAAAATCAATCTCAATTACAGCAACCAATACATCCTCCAATCGGTAACAACCAATTTTTAATTAAGTATATTTATAGTTAATATTTAAAGTTAATACAATATTTCTGTAAAATTTTTTTTATTTTATTAACTTGACAATCTATCTTAATTTGATATTTATAATAATTTAAATAAAATTGTAGATATTAATATACATATAAACATTTATATAAATTATTTGTAAATAAGATATATATTAAATGAAATTATTTTAATTGTAAAATTCAAAATAATCATTGTCTATACAATTTAATTATTCGTACTTAAGAAAATAAGTATCTTTGCTAATTATCAATTTTAAATGCAATTAATAACTGAATATATAAATATTTTATTTTCAGTTGAGAGTGGTGAAGAACTTAAGGTATTTCAATGCGATAAATGTCCTAAGGCATTTACTCGAAGAATAATGCTAAAGAGCCATCAGTCTGTACATAGTACCCAGCGTGGTTTTACTTGTCAAGCTTGTGAAAAATGGTTCCCAACGCGATCAGCTTTAGTGAGGCATGAGCGCACACATACTGGAGAAAAACCATTTGGTTGTAATATTTGTCACCGTGCTTTTGCTCAAAAAGAAATTCTTCTTCGTCATCTTATGACTCATTCAGGTCAAAAACCTTTCCAATGTCAACACTGTGAAAAAAGTTTTACCCAACGAGAAGCACTTAAGGTCCACATGCGACGTCATCAAAAACTCAATCCAAATGATATTCAATTACATCATTGTCAGTTATGTCCAAAAGCTTTTTGTCATGCTTCAGGCCTTAGCAGGCATCTTGTTTCGCATACTGGCAGGACCTATAAGTGTGTTGAGTGTGAAAAATCTTTTACTGATAAGAGTTCCCTTTTACGACATAGTCGTATTCATGCACCAAAACAACTTATAACGAATTAAATTTAATTTTTTATTTAAAATATCGATCATTTTGTGTCTATTATCAATTTTTATAATTTGTATAGCAATTCAAAAATTAAAGAATCAGCTATCCTTAAATAGACCGAATAATTAAACATTTTGTGATTTATAAGAAAGCTAAGTTTAGTTTTCCATTGAGTTTAAATATTTAATGTAACGGTAGCTTTTTAAATTAATAAAATTCAATCTATATTTTTCTATAAATTATGAAGATTGATATATACAACTTTTACTTTAAGTTTGGTTATAATTTACTTAAAATTTAAAAATATGATTTCAAGTATTTTAATATATAAATCGTAAACAGAAATTCCATTTTAAGAAATTATTTAATTAACTGCAAAATAATATTTAAGTAATTTGTTTCAATTTATTTGTGTAAAATCAATTTATAAATTTGTTGCAATTATGAGATAAGTTTAGTATCTAAAATCCTTAATTTTAGCTTTATTTGAATTTGCAAATTATATATAAGTAATTAAATTGTGGACATTATCTAATTTTATAACTTGTTATAATCTTAGCAAACGTGAAATGTAAAATTTATTAAAATTTAATTATATCTATGGATTATTTTTAAGAAATGAATTTTTGAATGTATTTCTAAACTATTATGAACAATAGAATATGTTTTATTGTATACTTATAATCGTGTGCATTTTGTATATATTATTATAAATATATTCAATTTTAAAATAAGTCTTTGTAGAATTTAATAAAAGAAATCAATTTTTTGTTTGATTTATTACAAATCTTATATTAAAACTGAAAATAAAAATATTAGTGATATTTATCACAGATTGGTGTATAAATCAAGATCATTGTCTATGTAAATAAATTTTATGAACGAATTCACTTTATTAAAAAAATCTTTATCGTTTTTTTTTTTATCATCTGATGAATTCATTGTTTTCTGTTGTGTAATTTTATATTCAAATGCATATATTCATAATAAGAATAGTGAGGACTATGCATAACTATAATATTGAGTCGCGTACATGAATTTTGCATTTACTTTTTGTTTTAAATAACATATTTCAATCATATTTTTAAATACAATGCTTTATTTGACGCGCAATAAATGTCAATGAACTACATACTGTTTTCGTCATATTTATATATTTTTTTCTAAACAGTCATTCTTGTTTGTTATGCCCTCTTTCTTAAGATAAAAAAAAACCATGTTTAATATCGCGTGTAATATCTAAAAATCTTTAATTTGAAATAGCTTCTGCTGTTGCTTACTTATGTGTAGTGGTTGTTGAAAGTGCATTTTATCTTTCACTTTGGTAGGCTGGGCAGGAGGGGAGCGAGGAGGAACAAGAAATGTAGTTTTTTATCAGTACCTTAATATCTAAGAGCATATGTCACGTTTACAATACTACTAAATTGCTACTATAAAATTACAGTTGTCGCGTCCCTCGTGCCGTACCTCTTCCTCTTTACACGTATCCGCGGTAGCACCTCTGTAACTATGGATAACGCGATTAGCGTGATTTTGTCAACATATATATATATATATATATATATATATATATATATATATATATTATATACACATAGATTTAATTATGCAACTGAATGTTATGTGCTTTTTAGGTATATTTTTTATTTCTTTATTTTGACCTTCCGAAGAATGGGAGTCATAAATAAACGATATTTGACAAAGCACCATATTTTGACTCGTTTCTACACTCTTCTATTTGTTTTATTAACGTGATGATGCGCTTTACTCTTATTTTTTCTGGCTAGCCTTACACAGGAGCCATTGAAAATTTACACTAAATTTGTTCTACAATTCTGTTACTAGAGACGCGACCACGTGGAAAAATACAGCGTACCACTTTCGTGCTTAACGAACGACTATGGAGTTTACTTTTCCTTTCATTATGCGTCTAAAGTACACTTACGAGTTTCACGCACTTGTGGTAGAATCCCAATGTAAAAGAAGAGAAAAGAAAATTTAAATTAAAAGGAATTGGACAGATGCAGAAGAGGCCTTTTTAATTTAAAAGCACCAAACGATAAAGGATTGAATTTCTCATCAATTGAGATTTAAAGGCTTTGGTTGCTCCCAACTAAAGCAATCCCTTCCAAAGTGCCCATATGTGCTAGTTTGCTGATATATTGGATTTCGAAGATTAAGTTCTCTAAAAAAAAGAAAAGAAAAATCCTTTAATTAAAACTTGTTTCTTTAATAAATTGTTAAAAATGATAAAACTACAACATTACATACTTAACTATCTTTCCAGGGCGTAGATCAAAATTTTTATTTACTATATCTAGAAGTTGATTTTGAGACAATTTTGATGTACCATAATCAAATACAGTAATAGATAATGGTTCCGCAACACCAATAGCGTAAGAAACCTATAAAAGTATATATTAATAACATAAAATTTTTAATATTCTTTTATAAAACTTTTAATATTTAAAAAATGTACTTGTACTAAGCAGCGTCTGCAAAGTCCAGCTTTTACTAGAGATTTAGCAACCCATCTAGCTGCATATGCTGCAGATCTGTCAACTTTAGTAAAATCTTTACCAGAAAAAGCTCCACCTCCATGAGCACCCCAACCTCCATATGTATCCACAATAATTTTACGACCAGTCAGTCCAGCATCACTCTTAAATACAGTAAAAGTAAATTGTGATATAACTTACACTGTAATTTTGATTATTTTTACTATACAACTTTATATTTATATTATAACTAAAAAATTAAATATTTATATTTAGACCTACATTTACCACTTAAGTAGTATTTACTCATATTAATATTTTAAACTTTAAATAATATTATAAATTAAAAATATAATGCATCAATAACATGAAATTATTAAATCTTAAACTTTAACAAAATAAAAATTGTGAAAAAGTTTACGTTTGAGTAAATTATAAATTTCTTATATTTAATCTGTAATTAAGGTTGTATCATATATAATTATAAATATATTTTAAGTGATAAAAAATTATTTTAATAATTTAAATTGTCATTCTCAGAAATGTTTACATCATAGCAATCAAGAGTAGCAAATACATTATAAAACATCATTGAATGACATACTCAATATTAAAATAAATACAAGATTTTACCTGTGGACCACCAATAATGAAAAGACCACAAGGGTTAACGTGGAACACTGTTTTTTCATCAAGATATCGTGCAGGAATAACTTCTTTTATAACCTTTTCCATAACAGCTTTACGTAATTCATCAAGTGTAATCTTGTCACTATGTTGAAGGGAAACAACCACTGTATGAACCCTGATGGGAACACAAGCTCCATGATCCATTATGTATTCACAAGTCACCTAAATAGTTTATAATAAAAATAATAATTTTGACTAGAGTTACTTTGAATATAATATAAGTTTATTTTATATTATATAATTGTCACTAATACCTTTTATATAGTATTGTTCAGATTTTACATCTTATTTTTTCTCTACTTGTACTTTAAAACCATACCTCAAATTTATATTTGTGTAATTTTTGAACTAAAATTTAAAATAAAATAAAATTTCATATAAAAATTCGTTTTTCTAAAGAAAAAACAATTTGAAGATCAGATTTTCAAACAAGAAATAATAAACCATTAAGAGAATCGTATTTAAGAGTAATAACATTTACATACACAAAGCATCATAAATTAAAAATTGGATTCATGATAAATAAAAAAGATTTAAATAATTCGTACACAGATTTGTTAAACTTACCTGTGTTTTTGAGTCAGGTCGAGCCCACCATAGTTCGCCACTTCGTCTAAGCTCAGCAATTTTCTGATTTAATCTATGAGCAAGTACTACCGTCAGTGGCATACATTCATCTGTTTCATCTGTGGCGTAACCAAACATTAAACCCTGTTTAATATTCAAAAAAGAAAAATATTTGAATCAGAATTTTAAATGTAAATTATTATTCAATAATTGAATAAAGAAATAATTTTAAAGAATTGAAAATCAAGTAATTTCATTTTCATTTATTTATTATAAATAAAACGTTATAATTAACGGTCAATTCGTAAGAAAACTAATAAACTTGTAAAACTATATACAATTATAAATAATTTTATGAACAGTTCATTTATTACTCGATATCATATTTATAAGCAATATTTTTAGAAAATGAATTCGTGTAACTTGATCAAATATTTACTTGAAACAATAAAAATACTTTTTGTTTAACCTAATGCATATTAAATAACCAATGTTTAACGCTATATATGGAATACTGAAATTAAAATTGACCATCAATGTCTCTAAATAAATTTAAAAAATGAAAAACCTGAAAATAATATTTTAATCAAAGCAGAAATTAGTGCCTTACAGAGCAGGATAAAAAATATTAGAACAAATATTTACAAACAATAATTTTTAGAGTGTGTAATTTTAATTATAATTCTACATTACAATTCAGAATTCATAATTCTACAACATGCAATAGTAATATTAAATAAAAAGACTAAAAGGATCCAGAAAAGATAAATGATTAAAGGAAGTTTTGAGTTAATCCTTTGGAACATCAATATCATTATTCAACTTTCCTTTTTAATTATTAAATAAAACACTTTATAATTTATATTTTTACTTTCTTGTGCATGTTGGATATAAAAACTATTAATATAATAGTTATTTCTATTCCGTGAATATTTTAATATTGTTGAGTAAACTAAACTAAAAAATATTCTATTTTATAAAACAAATGCTAATTGAAGAATGAGAGAATAAAACAGATGTTGCAAGGGCTTAACTATAGATTATTATATTAATTATAAATTATCCTAAACATGATAGAGCATAAAACATATAATACCACAAAATGATAGATAACAAATTTTAGAAATATAATTTGTTAAATATATATAGAAAACAAAGAAAATAAGGTGCTGACCTAATAAATATTAGATACAAATAATATAATTAAAGAACAATAAAAATAGTTTTCAATAATCTTTGTAATAACAATTAACCTGATCACCAGCACCAACTTCTTCATCACTACGATTTTCATGTACTCCTGCTGCAATATTTGGTGATTGAGCATCGAGTGCCAGTAAAACGCTGCACAACTTGTAGTCAAAACCTGCAGAAATTGAGGTAATTAACTTCAGATATTTTTTTTCTGAAGGTTTTAATTTCCTCATTTTTTTTTATCAATGTTCGACTTCTGTATTATACCTATTCAGTTGTTTTTTTATAATTTGATGATTATTTCATGAATTCTATTTATATATTAAAAAAATGTTTTAAAAATATATTATAAAATTTTAGTGATGAATACTAATTGCTTTTTAAAAGGATCCTCTTGTCTTATAAACCTATATAAAATACTTTCAATAATTAAGGCATTCCAATTTGAGTATACTGTTTACACCGAATATATTGGTTATTTAAAAATTTGTAATAAAATTATTCAAAAGATGTTATCATTGTTTCATATAATTCTGCTGCTCTGTGGCACAGGCTGTGAATGGATTTTATACCTGATCACCTGCACCAATGTCCAGTTCTTCCCTGGCGATGTGTACACCATCTGCGATATTTGGAGATTGTTGCTCGATTGCCACCAAAAGATTCAACGTACGCCAATCAAATCCTGCTACCACCATTATACGCTTACGTTACATGTTCTTACGATTCATATACTTTACTTGATTGTGAATAAAATACAAGTGCCTTCTGGTTAAAACCAGTTAATAGTTAGATTTATTTGATTTTTGTATTTTTCTGCCTACCCAACGTCTTTTAGGTTACTTTAAACACAGATGGATTGTTATGTTTAAGTCATAGATCTGCTGTTGATTTTAATTTTTATTATACAATTATAATTCTTTTTATAAATTTTATTCAACTTTCTATTAGATTTTATTAAATACACATCTAATTTATGTCTTCATTTAGTTAAAAATATATAAAATATTACATGCAATAGATATTTTAATACCATATTTAGCAGAATATTGAACAATACATTATATAATTTTTCAATAAAATATTGTTATATTATAAAAATTTTAAATATTTTACCAATATATTATTCTTTCAAGTTTTTAAACCTATTATTATACTGTTGATAAAATAATTCATAATATTTACAAAAATGGAAGAAAATTTGTAAATATCATGAAAATATAGAAAATTGTTTTAAGAGAAACTTAAAAATATTTGATGAAATTAAATAAGATTATTTTATAAGTATTTGTAAATATTTGATGAAATTAGATCAGATTATTTTATGAATATTTACAATTTAATAAGTTATAAATAAAACTTTTTAATTCACTAACACAGTGCGAGTTGATAATACTAAATTCAAATATTTGCAAAGAAACTTATGGTTTAAAATCATTTATTTGTAAATAATCTTTTATTTTTAAATATCCTTTATGACTATGCCACATATAATACAAATGTAAAATAAAAAGTTACCTTTAGATGAATCATCATATCCAATATGATTTACAGTATCACGGACAATTTTCTGATAATCTACAACAGCTTTTGAAGTAATTTCCCCACACAATAAGACCATTCCTGTTTTTGTCACTGTTTCTATAAAAAAAAACATTTGAAAAATATAAGACATAATAAATTAATGACATAAACAACAAAAATGTTATATACTTGCCACATGCAACTTTGGCATCTGGATCCTGTTTCAAGTGTGCGTCTAAAATAGCATCACTGATTTGATCACACATTTTATCTATTCAAGAAATAAAATAAATACAATATAATTATATTCATAAGTAATTAAAACTTTCAATTATTTATAATCATTAAATTTATTTTGAAGATAAAATGATATAGTATTAATTTTTTTAATTAATACGAATACGCAAGTTTAATGTTGTAATAATTTAAAATAACAAATTTAACGTAATCAGTTTTTAATTTTTATTTAATTACTATTATATTATCGAATTAAAAATATCGTTTTATCAATTCTTAAATATATTTTATATTTGTTTAAATAATAGAAGTATCGTATTTAGTTTAAGATAAAGATTTGCATATATAACAAGAACATAACTAACAATACGTATATAAATATAAAATAAAATTGATAAAGCCAAAAAAATTAAAGTCATTAAGTTTCTTTTCTTTGATAAAAGTTACTGTTTATAGATGTTTCGTCCATATCTCGAGAAAGCTTATATCTAATTAACATTATAATCATTATGAAAAGTATAAATTATCAATGACTCATCTATTAAAGAACGATGTAGAATTGTTCTCATTATTAGATCATAAGTAAGGGAGCACATGGTAATCTTTCTTTCCTTCTTATGATCTTTCACTCTCTCAGTACTAATATATCTCGTGCTTAATTTTTGATTATGCGCAGAAACAGTTTGACGCGGGTTGGTTGTCGCATGTGTATAGACTTCGACTACATGATCAAATATTAATGCTAACGTATATAAAGTTGTTTATACAAAAATATATACATAATAATAACAGTTTTTATTTAAGCATAAATAAAAAATGTAATGTGCAAAATTTATTACTATAGACAACTAATTCTCATTTTGTCCTTTATAATCAAAATTAGCGCGTACATGATAACCAATCAGCGAAAAGTATCTCGCTAGTCTAAAATTTAGCATAAAAATTCTCCATTGTCCAAAAAGCGAATCTTAAGATAGATTGAAAAGAGTTAGGTGGTATTTATTTAATGTTATATTTTTATTGCATTAGCAATTAGTTAGAAAATGACGGGAAAATGTATGTGAAGAATAGAACATATTGTATTCACATATAAAAAATGAGAGAGGGGGTGGGGAGAGATGTAGAAACAGATAGACAGAGAGAAAAGCATCGAGCTATGTGCCCTCATGGCGGCACGGAATTCGTTGCGTTCTTTTTCTATCGCGTACAGTGTGCACACATACAGTATTTCATCTCTTTTTATTTTTCAATAGTGCTAAGTATTTTGGAATTAAAATTAAGATATATTAATACAAACACGAAAAATTTATCCAATTGTCCTCTTGGAAATAGTAATATATTTCGGAATCCAAATGTTTTCAAAAGTACCTAAAATACCGATTCGATACTTTTGATTTAGTCCAAATTTTAAAAGTTAATCTGTAAACATGAAATTAGTATAACGTAGCATTAATAATAAGCAAATAGAATGCAACAAGAATATTCATATCTTTTTTCATAAAGCAGATACACGCTCTTAATCCTTACCCGTCAGAATTTTTTATGAAAAAATGTTTAATATTATTATTTTTTCAATGCTTAAATAAAAATAGGAACGTTATTTGTACAATTGAATTTATTTGAGTATTTAAGATCACATTTAATCTCAATATTTTATTATAAGGGATTGATATTCTAGCAGCAAGTAAGATACTAGTATGAAGACAAGAGAAGACGAAATTAAAAAAACGTAAATATTCAATAGTTACCAGGATGTCCCTCGCCAACGGATTCGGAGGTGAAAAGGAAGCTTGTGTCCTGTTGAAGTTCGGGCGGCGTGTGCCCGTTAGCGTAGCCGTTCATATGATGCGCGTTCTCCGGCATGTTATCTTCTGTCTCGTCTTCGTAGTTTTGTAATATGCGGCGCTTCAATGCGATAGTCTCACTAATAAGCGCCGCCTCTGTTTTGACTTAGAACAGCCTTGCGACTCCTCTTTGTAGGTGCTTAGATTATTGCTTTTTTTCACTTACGTTGATAGAAAATGCTCGAAAAACGCGCGCGCGACAAGATTAATCTTGTACGTAATGATTGAACTAGACGATAAGTAAGCACTGCTCTGTGAATTGTGTATTTTAAGATCGACTAGTGTCGACAATATCGTGTTCGTTTGTCTTTCTCAAGGGACGTTTTCTCGAAAGCACTACAACCACGATGACGATGACTACGACAAGGTGCGTGTTATCACAGTCGAACTTAAAGTAGTAAATGCGCTGTGCGCCGTTGACTGACTCCCTCTGTATCTTTTTCTTTCCCTTTTCGTTCTCTTTCCTCTCGTTTAGATGCACACACATACGCACGCACACATATCCGTATATATAAATACGTATGTATACATACGTTAATCGTGAATGCCTTTTTGTATGGACGTGTATACGAGTGGCGCTCGCACTAGTCGACGGATTAGACCTGCGGGATGTAAAAGAGACTCCCTGCATGCCGGCCTCCGTTATTTATAATCTCGGTCGGTATAGCTGAATCTTCGGATATTCCCGTATTCGATCGGCTGCATTCGTATGTTCACGTGTTCGCGTTCTCAACCCCTCCTTCGCATAACCAGTCTGGTCGGTAGATATAATTGGTGCTTCCCAAGTGCTTCGCCGAAAGACGTTGAGCATATTTTTATGATGAGGGTTACTAAAAGGGAAATGGTGTGATGGGAAAGTTGCACGAAAAACGAGTGCTTTTTTAAATGCAGAACGCATGCGCTTCTTCACGAAGAAAAACAACTATTTGGCGCTATCTATTAAATGAGATTTTTCAAAATATAAAAAAAAAAGGAACTATATAATTTTTAATTTATTTAAACGATAAATAATATAAGATTAATAGAAATATACATTTCTGAAAGAAAATAGTATAGAAATATTATAAAAATTCTTTATTTATTTATCAGTATTAGCATTTAATTTTCGAATTATAATTGTAAATATGTAATAAAATGAAATTAAATTTATACTGTTTTTTCAATATAAACAATAGTGTAAATATATAATATAACTATATATTTAGGTATAAGTTAATGTAATAAAATATTATTGAATATTTACATAAAATACTATATAATACTGAAAAATGAATTTTTAAAAAAATTTTGGTGATCCAATAATTTTATTTAAATATAAAATTAAAAACATTTAATAAAAATAATTAATTAATTAAACAATTAATATTTAATTTTTTAGAATAGATAATATTTAATTTATATTTTTATAGGGAAAAGGTTATAATTAATAATTACATCCATAAAATGTTAATTATTTTTCATAAATTCATAAAAAGATTAAATAGATAAAGTATGATTATTAAATAAATATATAATTTAAGAATAATTATAAATAATAAACAAGTAGCTAATAAATATAATTTATAGCACGTTCTAATTAATTAATTAAATTACATATAAAATAGTATTTAATGAAAATATTAAAAATATTATGCATATACATCTTTTATAAATAGTTAATTAAATAAACATAACAAAATATATTGAAATTATAATATTTTTATTTTTAAATTTGAATAAATTTATTAATTATTTATTATTAATTTATTAATTTTTCTATTTTATATAATTCTTACAAAAAAATTTTTTTTCGAACAGTATTTAAAATATTAATTTTGAAAATTAAAATTCAAATTGATAAAATGTATATTATTTAAAGTAGAAATTGATTTAATATCTTATTTACATTCATGTTCCACAGTTTCTTAAAAGGAGTTATAAATCGAGTGGTATTTATTGCGTTACGTAATATTATTTTTAATTTATTGTGGGTACAAAATGAATTTTTATTTATAAATTTTTAAATGTTCGGAGTTTGTAATATTTTATTTATTTATATACATCGATTTTACATGACCTATACAATACTGTTTAAAATAAAAGTCAATGAAAATTTATATTTTTAAAAACCTTTTAATATAAACGTACTAACAAATTTATAAATTTTTTTTAATTATGATTGAATTTTTCTAAATTATTTATGTAATTGTTGAAATAAATGTAATATAATGAAAGCATTTATTGCAATTAAATTATAGAATATTTTAAATATTCTACTCATAAATGAAATAGTTTATATATAAATTGGTCATATAAATTTAATTTAGTTTTGCAAATAGATTTTTATAAGAAAAATTTGATTATAAATCTAAATTAAAGTATGTGAATGGTAAATTAAAAGGTATATAATAAGAAATATTGATTGTCCTTTACAATTGATATTGAAGTGAATTAGTTTGTTGGTTATAGAAATATGATATAAATTATAGCTTATTTGTAACATGTAATGAAAATAAATTATCAATTTGATAATAAATATATTTTTTAATTTTAAGAATATATAAGGTAACTAAAAATTTTGTTATTTAAATAAAAAAAACAAAAATAACTCGATAAGTATAATAAAATTTTAGATTGATCTATTTTAAGTTTTACAAGCTTTCTATAAAATGATAATCAATTGTCAATTAATAATAAATTAAACTATAAATTAAATTGACTAAAATAATTATTGAAATATTCTTAATAAAGAATTGAATTAAATTTGTTTCTAAAGTAACAAGCTTGAAAAGTGAATATTTTTTTAAATAATTTTAATAATAAAATAGAAAAATTAGAAAATTTATTATTAAAACAAATTGAATACAAATAATATTTTGTGAATTTATACATTTATTATGTATTCGAGTATATTTGAAGAAAGTAGTTCTGTGTAGCATGTAAATTAAATATATTAATATTAACACTAAATTAAACATTAAAAACATTCAAATATTAAATTTTGTTTAAAATTTGTAATATGTAATGTAATACATAAATTTATATTCATATGTCTATATTTTTATAAACTATTTGGTATAAAGTAAAAAATTTACAAAAATTATGAATTTGTATTTCCCAATGAAATTGAATCAATATAAAATGATTTTAATTGATTTATAAATTATTTAAAAATTTTTTTAAATTCTGAAAGTATAACAAAAACTCTATACGAAGCATAAAAATTTCAATACCATAATAAATTTTTAATTTTAAGTATTTTTATTATGTAGTGGTTGTTCTTGAAAATTTGAAATAATTTATATTGTGATATATTACCTAACATGATAATATTTAAGAATAATTTAGTGGTTCTAATATTAAAATGAATAATTTAATATAATAACATGAATGTACGATTAGATAAAAAATCATTTGCATCTAATCTTAAACTTAGAACAATACACAGTGTATTGTTCTAAGAGCTTGTTTTTATATAAATTAGAAATTAATTTATAATTTATTTTAGCATAATTCCAATATTTTAGAAATTTTTTTATTAATTTTAGCTTTTATTTAAAATTTTTTATTTTAATTATATGTAGGTCAATGACATTAGTTAAAGAAATAATTAATATGTATAAATTTCATTATGTACATATATAAAGCTAATGTATAACAGCAAATATTTGAAACATATTACTAAGTTCTATCAAATCACACAAGAAAATGATTGGCATAAATATATAAATAATCTATAGGCATAAATACTCTTATTTAATGGTATCTAAATCAGATGGTATTTTTGAATTATCAAGTATGAAACACCAATGGGTTATATTTCAATTTATAAGAATAATAGAAGCATAGAGGATCATTGCAGCGAGGTTGATACTGCAATTAAGAAAAGATTATTATTGATTTTACCAGCGTTTCTACTGAAAATATTCATATCATATATGTGTGATATATGAATTTAATATTTTTATTTTAATAAGCTAATTATTACTTCTAAGAAATTACTAGAGGCGTGGAAAAAATATATAACAATGAATAACATTTTTACATTTTTTAGAAAAAATTTGAAAGTCGTGATATGGAAATCTATTATGTGTAGATTCAAGTTTTTTAAATAATCAGAATATTTTCGATATATAATGATTTTTATTTGAGAAAAGATAAGATTGTTTCAGAATTAAAACACATGTGATATATAAACTAAAAGATTGCTGATAAATCCAAATATTTTAAATGAATCGAGGTTGATATTTAAAATATATTACCATTAATGTTAGGTGATGCACATAAAATAATGACAGTTAAATCAATTATAATTAACCAATCAATACAGTATCAAAGCAAATAACAGTAACGTATTACTAAATTGAATAGAGAATATACAATGTACTATTACATTTTTAATCTTAAATATTCAAATTTTTTATAAATCAAGACAATGTTTTTAAAGTTTTAAAATATTTTTTATGTATTAATATGTATTATTTCACGAAAACGAAAAAAATATTTAAATAAAAATAAAAGACTTTATTAATTGAATATTGTTTATTGTTGTTTTATATTAAAAAATTAATTTTCCCCTATACGTTAAACATGTAGTATTCCAATTTGTATTAAGTAAAAGTAAATAAAGTTAAAACAATATAAATAAAGCAAAGCAAAGTAAGGTTATGTTATAAAACATTCAACATAAAATTATTTGTCAATACGTCTTTTAATTGAAGATTAAAAATTTAGAATATACACAGATTTAGAATATACACATAGAATATAACAGACAGTAATATATATTCCATTATATGATATAGATATGATTATAATCAAGTCTACAAAATTATAGTTGATAAAACAAACAAAAAATATGAATTTTAAGTAATTCATAAGAATGGCAACAAATGGTAAAGGAATTAATATAGAATTATTAATTTAAGGAATAGCAAAAAAGGTGTATGACAACATTTATAAATAAACTTATTTGGAAAAAGTACTACCACGTCAAGTTCAGATTTAAATAAGTGGTAGAGAAGGTAAAATTAGATGAAAGATTATGAAAAAGGGTAAATTCAAGAATAATTTTAAGATACCACATCAGATCTATAATTATAATGTTTGAAAAAGATACATAGATTAAAAAATATATTTCTTAGTTGAAGAATACATCTGAAGTTGATACAAAATCATTTATATATAAATTTATATATAAATTTATATATAAAATTAATATAGAGTAAAGTAAAAAAGGGGTAACAGAGTGCTAATATACAAATATCTGATAGAAAATTATAAGTGTATTATTAAATTAAAAAAAAAAGATTATTAAAAGAATTTAATGTAATAAACTATTTATAATATGTAAAAACAACAATTATAAATAGTTTACATAAGATGTAGAAATTATATTATATAAACATATTTATCTGTTTATATGTAATATTTATTTATATATTTATATAATATTTATATATTTATATGCAATAAAATTATTTTATTAAAACAATTATATTCATACCTGTAATTAAGTCTAAATATAATTATATTTATAATTTTGTTTTTTTATGTGAATTATTAATGTTAAAAATATTTTTCTTTTACTTATTCTACTAAATTTTTTTTACATTAATATTTTTCAAGAATATTATCATATTGTATTGGAGATCTATATGCATTAAAAAATTATATTTATATCATTTGTATCTTATTATGTATAATTGTTTACAAAATAGCTAAACTGTTTATACAATTGCTAGTTTTAAATCTTGTATTTTTCGAATTTTATTTATAATTTTTAAATACAGAGAAAATAAAGAAATTATAATAAATTCTACATATT